AGCTTGTTGCTTTTGGCTCATTTCCAGTCAAGTCTTTAAGAAAGCCACCAACATGTTATTGCTGTTAATGCCTTTGTGATCAAACACCATGGTCTGCAGAAAACATTAGAGCTGTGCTAATTTACTCCCATAATTTTATCTGGTCAAAAGCTGGGAATAAAGATTGCAGCAAAACATTTCAAGGGAAGTGCCACAGTTTTTCGTAAAGCTGTGGATTATGAAGTTTTCTATGAAATAAGGTCAGCCAAATGTAAATTCTTTGCATCTAATGATGCCATGTTACATTGCAGTTCTAGTCCCAGCTCATGAACCATCTGTCAGCCAGGAGAGGGAGGTTGTGCAGATGAAAACAGTTGCAGCCTTCTGGTCTTTTAAAGTTCACATACTCGTGTTTGTAGCCGTACCTTGTTCCACACAGGCAGGTTCGTTTTCATACGTGTTACTCGAAGATTATGGAGTTAAAAACAGCTGTGTCACCGTGGAGGAATTACAGTTGATGGGCAGCCAACCACAGCAGCTCTGCAAAGCTGACAAAGCAGCCTCACTTTTAGTATTAGTTATAACAGTTTTCATAACACTATCATATATTTCTTCCTGTCACCCTTGTAGTGGAACCAGTTCCTTAGTGCAAATGCAGGCGGGTTTGATCGATCAGGTAGGGGTCAGGTAATTAGGTGAGAAAACTGCAGCCATGAGGAAACAATTTAGGGATTGCCCGTTCACCGGATTGAATATTTCAATGACTTTGTCCTGTTTCCAGACTGCTGGTGGTCACATCATGGTGAGCCTCTGGTGCTGATAGCTGTGATGCTATGCTCTCTGAAACAAATTGATAGAGGACCTACAAGTGCCTCTGTAAAAATAGGAGTGTTTTCATGTTGCATTGACCATTTTGGATAAGCTTACAGCAGCATTTCCCCATCACATGTAGTCTTAAGGCTAATCAAACATTTCAGAGAGAAAGACTTTGGAAGTTGTCACTGCTGTCAGATTACTTGAGGAAGGTAGAAGGGCTTCAGAAGCTGCAGACCCAGCTCACTGGAGACAGGGAAACGGCTTCAGCTGACTGCACTGAACCTCCGATCTTGTCCTCAGCCACTCACTCTGGCTACACATTGTTCTGTGTGCACAGCAACTTCTGTGACCAAGTGGTGAAGCAGACAAGGGAATACATGCAGCAGAAAAATAACCCAGAAATCAAATGTCTAACTGAATTATATTTCAGCTCAGCAACATAAGACATTTTTTACAATGCGGGTGGTGAAACCCTGGAACAGGTTTCCCAGAGAGGTGGTAGATGCCCCGTCCCTGGAAACATTCACGATCAGGTTGGATGGGGCTACGAGCAACCTGATGTAGTGACAGATGTCCCTGCTCACTGCAGGGGGGTGGTACTAGACAACTTTTAAAGGTCCCTTCCAACACAAACTGTGCTGTGATTCTATGATGAATGATTGGGATGTTCTGGCACAACAGGGCATAGAGATACGGAGAAGGAATTGTCCTGTAAAGGAAAAAAAAAAAGTCCTGGAATTTAGTAATTTTCAAGCACAGGCTTTAAAAAGGCAGTTTATCTTTTGACAGGGGTTTAGATCAGACGTTGTCATGGGATTTACCATTTTTGTAGGACAAGCAAAGAGATTTTTGCCCACATGGTTTTGAATGAGGCATGTAATCCCATGCAGGAGTAAATACTTAATTTGACAAATTTTCTAGATAAAAAATCCCCAAATTTGTTTTAAGTGTATTTTTCTATGTCTTTTTAAAATAAAAATGACTAAAAGGCAGGACTTTTTTTGTTTTGTTTTGGAATATTAGCTTGCAGTACAAGCACTGGGTCCTTTTCCTGTACTGCTGGAACGCCCAGCAAAACTGCTAATGCTGAGGGAGGGTGAAGCCTTAGAGCAGTGAGTTTCACCTCAGAAAACTATATCCAAGGAATGCAGACGTGATTGCTCATTGAACTATTTTTTGTTTGACTTCATCAGTAAAGTTATTTTAATGGGAAATACATTATTAAGGCTGCAGAGAAGATGGCTGCTGAGTGATCCAAAGCATCTAGAGGAAACTGGAGAAAAACAAAATAGCTAAAATAATCTAAATGGAATAGGCATTGAAATAACCAGTGGTGATTTTTAAAAGTAGTGGTTCAGAGAAACTGCAGGCGTTGAAGAAAAACTTTGGCAAGGTAATTTGAAGACAATTAAAATAAGAAAAAAGAAATCATGAGTTGGCGCAGAGAAGGAAACAGGAAAAGTTCCAGTTGATGTAATGGTAAAGACATGTAAGAAGTTTTGAAATAGATAGCAGCAGGATCAAACTGGGTCAGTTTTTAACAGAGAAAATTCTCAAGCACAAAACCTCTGTCTACTGGATTGTGCAAGTATGCAGTATTTTTGAGGATGTTCATTGCTTTTCCAGATGTGTGTGTTATCCTCTGTGGTTTAGCTGAGATCAGAGAGACTAAAAGGAAGCATAGTGTGTACCAGAGATGTGGGAAAGTTTGTTCACCCTGTGCAAACTTCCCTCCAAACTGTCTGACTTCCAGTTCCATATAATGTTATGAGAATCAAAGAAGATCAAATCAAAAAAGTAGACACATTTTTGAGATACAGGAACAGTGTGGTATAATTTTTGGTCAGGAGTAAGAATGTGATGAGCGAGATTAAAGGAAGATGAAGAGGAAAAAGAAAATAATGGGTTCCAGACTTCCATTGATAAGTGAACAGATATCAAAGACTGATGATATCAATAGCAGGGTTAAATGACAAGGAATTTCGTTGAAGTCAATACAGTACTATTATAGGAGATTGGAATCAGGCAGTGTCAGCAGTCCCATTGGCCATCTAGCAGTTTTAAGATGAACAAGAGTACTTAATTCTCAGACCTTTCTCGCATTTGAATAACACAGAAAATGTTTTGGTTTGTGTGGCTGAATAATTCCATTACAACTGTAAATATTTGAATGGTTATGCAGGCATTACTATTTTCTGTTATGTCATTTTTAAAATAAATTATGCCAGCTCTAGAAAATGAGAATCTAAGTTTCAGTCAAAGACTTGTGTTTTGATTGATGGTTGATCCTGTTGTAAGGATGGAGGCAATGATTTTGATGTGAAAAGGGATGTAGGATTTCACATAGTAGATTTAGAATCTACTTTTTATGTGTTTATAATTCCTCTGATGACCATTAGAAATTTAGAGCAGTTAGAAATATTTACTCTTAAACCGTATGTTTCAGCCTTATCTCAAGGAGAATTTTGTCCTACTTTGGTAAAAATCCTTCACTACCATGGTGCTAGTAAATAGTTTTTAACTGAGTTTTTCATTTGTGCTTTAGAAAAATAATTATTGCAGTCCTAGGTTGATGAATGTCTTGATTTGTGTGACATATGCTTAGTTTTTTATAAAAAAACTACCTCATCAGCTACCTTTTTGGTATTTTTTGTAGTTGTAAGGCTTTTTCTAAAGAACAACTGCCTGTACTAATTTGGGTTTTGGTGTAACTTAAGAAGATGTGATTCAGTCATTCTCTTCTAGGCTTTCCTGCCTCTTTGCCTTTCTTTTGTCTGCGGTGTAGAGCTGTGTTTAGATGAAAGGCTATCTTTTTTTTTCGTGAGGTAGCTGTGACCCTCCACTTGCAAAGATGCTGTCAGTGCCATGATCACATTAGTTTTGCTGAGCTGAAATCCATTCTAAGCTCCTAAATTAGAGCATGAGTACCTACAAATGTCTCCTCTTTTGTCACTATTTTTGCAAGAGATCACAGAAGGTGAACAGCTGTCATAGAAAATATACTGAGAAAGGAGGCTGTGCTCCTTTGGCGGATGAGGACTTCAACAAACAGAGCATGGCTTCATCAGAGACCGTGGTGTGCTCCCTGCACATCCGCCTCTCTCTGCTGAAGGAGAACGTGCCTGGGGATGAGGAGCAAACACAGAACGTGACTTGCCCTCGCAACAGGGCAGGGTCATGGCCGCATCCCCTGGCCTGCTCTGTGCGTGGCCCTTCAGGCCCGGGGGTCTGCCTGCCCATCAGGTAGCTCCGTGGCCTCCTCCGGGAGCTGGGGCTCAGCCACCGGTGCATCTCCAGGGCCTGGCTCCTATGGCAAGCACATGTGGTCAAACAGGGAGGAAGGCGCTTGTGGGCCCTCCTCAGTAAATAACCCACTTGTGTCAAGCGCAAGGCTTGGGAGGCACAACAGTTCATTGCCTAGGGATATCAGCTTGTTTTCCTCAGGAAAAAAAATAGCCTACAGAGTTGTGCCGCCCTTTGGACAAGCTACTGACTCAGTGTTCAAACTGAAGAGAATAATAAATGAACCTGAGAAACAAAGGAGTCGTCGTGTTTTGTTTTTTTGCTTAGCAGCAGTAGTAAGTATGCATGTGACACATGTATGAGTGTTGTCTTAAACCTGAGGTTGAGAATTTTTTCCTTTAGTGAAGAAATGTATATTTTTATCATGCTTTAGCAAAGTAGTGACACTTTACTCATGAAAAACTGACATGCAGTGTGAGAACAAGGGCTTATAAAATCCTAGCATCCTTTTTTTTTTTTCTATCTACTAGGCATGTGGAGAATTCTGAAAAAAGGTATATGATTAGGTACTTACATCTGGATCTTAGATTCATCTTTGAAGATAGGTGCAAATGGTTGTTCTAAACATCCCATGCCTTTTGTAAATAAAGTGTAATCAAAATTGGAAGGAGTGAAAACGCTTGCGGAGAAAGTCTTTAAAGAGCCCATTATTGGATATTCCCCTATTTTAAAATGCAAATTCGGTCTTTACTAGTTCAGCAGCTTTTTTGTGAGGCTCTGTACTGAAAAATCATGTTTATTTTCTCACAGCTGATTGTTATTTTCAGAACACATGTGGTCTGAAATACTTGTACTGTACCTTATTTAAAAGCTTTGATACCATACCATATACAATTGATTTATCGATATGATGCTTCTCCCTCAACCAAAAAGATTTTATTCTTTTTGCTTTCTAGGAAGGAGGCACAGCTAGATGAAGAAGGACAGTTTCTTGTCAGGATAATTTACGATGATTCCAAAACCTATGATCTGGTTGCAGCTGCAAGCAAGGTCCTTAGTAAGTAATATGGCTATCTTCTTTGCCCGTTCCTCACATAAAAGATGACACCACCGTCCCCCACCCCATGTAGCAGAAAGAAACAGGATTTAGCACAGAGGAAGTGAAAACAGAGTATTGGTCAAAGAGACCATTTAAACAAAAATTTCAGAAGAAAGTATTTTTATTTATTTATTTAAGATACTTTTGTTACTTTTATTCCTTTAAATGATTTTTGTTACTTCCAGAGTATTCAGTCACAGGTACACCTTAAACTGCAGTAATATACCTCATCCACAGAGCATGGTCAGTGTTACAAGCAGTCATGAAATAGCAATATACCACTGTATAGCAGTATACTACCTTGCCAGTAGACCCAGTTTTTAACTGCTGCTGCAAGAGCAGGCCATGACTGAATCCTTGATCTCTCTGCTGAACAAGCTTGCTGAATTACAATGTTTGTGGCATGGGCACATCTCATTTCATATCTGCCGTTGATTTGGGTCACATTGATTTCCAATCATTGCAGCGCTGGTCTGGAATTTAAAAGGTAGAATTATGCCTATCAATCAGCATTATTTCATCTGCAGATCCACGTGCGGTATGAATTTGTTCTGAATCAGTAATCAGCCAAGAACCCATAAAGCTACGATTACTGTAGTAGTTATGCTGAACTGGAGCAGCTGATGTGGTTTCATGCTATTGTAAACCACAAGTAACTCCCCTGAGGCAAGTGCTACTAACACCTAAGTTGCTTTCCTTTCAAGTAGTGATTTCTTGTCTGTATCAAAATCTAAAATGCTATGCATGTGTGAAATGCACAGTGCAGCAAAGTCATAATGGTAACTGGTAAATCCTAATGAGATTCCTGTATTGAATACTCGTTATTTGCCATGTGGACCCTGAATCTTGTTTTTCTCATATTCTTCACACTGGATCTGGGTAGAGTTTAGGTACTGTCTGTCTATTTTATGAATACGAGGCTAAAGTAGGAAGCAAAGTACATGAAATACAGCGTTTGGACTGACTCATATTTTCCTGTTTTATCTAGATCTGAATGCCGGGGAAATTCTTCAAATGTTTGGGAAGATGTTTTTTGTGTTTTGTCAAGAATCTGGTTATGATACAATTTTGCGTGTCTTGGGCTCAAATGTCAGAGAGTTTTTGCAGGTAAGAATTTTATGCCAAATTGTATCAGGCACCAGACAGAACTATGGTCTAGTCAACAGGTTAGATTGAGATCTGGAGATATAGGTTGTACTGTGTAATCTCCCAGTTATTTGTGGAGAAGTGTCTGAAAACTTTCTTCCTTGTTATTTGTATTCTATAGAGCTTTCCACTGCTCAGCAGTTTTGGCATTGTTGTTCTTGTTCTCTCTCAGTTAATGTATTATTCAGTTACCTGATAGAGCAATAATTTTCACATAGCATCTTTGACTGTTCAATTTCATAAAAAAGGAGTGAGAAGGCAGGTAAGCTGGGATTGCAGAGGCATTCATAAATCTGAAATTTCATTTGAAATTCGAAGAGAAGTTTTGAACAGAGGTTTTCATATGTAACGTAAGTATGGAGTACAAGAGACATGACAGACCCCACCAATTCAAACTGTGTGTGTTAAGTAAAAAGACTTACCTTATTTGTACCAACAGAAAGTGTGGTCTTCAGATTTGCAGGATATTTGTTCTCTGAAGTTCTCTGATGGATGGTAGATACTGATTATTGCTAATTGTACATTATGTACAGAGCTAGGGCTCATACACAGCTTATCTCTAAGACATTATCCTTCGTCAACTGAGAGTGGGATAGAGCAGCAGTGTTTAAGTCAATTTTTGTGCTTTCCTAACTGCAGAACAGCATGATGCTGTACTGTAAAACCAAACAAAATGAAAACAATTTTTCAGTAGCATGCAAGAAATGTTGTAACTTCGCTGAAGTGTGATTTCGAAGTGTAGAAAAAATGGGCTTTCCTTTCTTGTCACCTGAAAATTGTTCACTTCAAAAAAACACTTTGGATTTAAGATTTGTGACATATGAGAGAAACGCGTGCTATAATGAGCTTAAAAACACTGAACTGATAAAGATTTCACAGAAGATTGCCCAAAAGCCAAGTGTCAAATCTCTGTTGATCTCCTCTGGAGATGTAGCAGCCTCATATCTTCTGTTCCCTTAAAATCTCTCCAGCAATAATGTGAAAAAAGCAGAGTGCATGGTTTACTTGATTACTAGAATGTTTACTTTTGTGTCTCTCTACCTGCCTCAAAACCTGGATTATTCCACGGCATCCTAGATGTAGTCAGCTCAGACTTCCTGTACAAATCCCATCGACTGTAATTGCTGGACAGACAGACAGGGTGTGTGTATGCTCCAACATATGCATACCATGCGTCATCTGTGTACCGTTGTTTGTCTGTGGGATGTGACATCCTTTATACTTCATAGCTTCATTCACAGGCTGCCATCAAAGAAAGCCTTCAGATAAGTGTAGTTTTTAAAGATGACTCATGTAGTGAAGTTGTGGTTAAGGTAGAGCAAGAATAGGGGAGGAGGGAAAAAAAGACATAGCTGGCCCATTGCTCTGTCACTTTGGGTACACATAGATGGGCCAGCCCTTCCCTATTGCTTTCCTTCGTCCCCTTTGCCATATAGTGTACTTCTCTTTCCATTCCTTACCATGTGTGATGATGAAAAGACTGAACACGTTTGTAGTGCATACCAAAGCTCTACAAAAGCATGAGCAGCTTACATTTATATTCTTGTAATGACAGTATTTTAAGCTGCTTTGTTTGCATTTCAGTGTTAACAGATGACATTGGCTATTATATACTTCTTTAAATTTTAACAGGATTAATGTATTAATAGCTGTGCCAGAAGTGTACTTTTTAGGTTTTTATTATAATGGAAAATCAATGGTATCCATGATTTATTATTTTTGCATCTTCCAGCAGTCAGGTTAAATCAGAAAACTATTTGAAATACCTATTACAAAAATAGGAGCAGAATGGGTTTAATGTGTTGAACTTTTGTCAGGTTCTTAAAATACATGATAGAGTTCCAAAACGTGCTTCTTGAAATCTGTACTAAGTCCAGGATGTACAAAATAATTGAGGGCTGCAGCTTTCTAAAGCATGTGAAAGTAAATCTTGTATTTTATGTTCTGTTTCCCTTGACGTCTCAGAGAAAATTTTGTTTATTCGCAGATGAAACACAGGTACTTCAAGCTTCATGAAAGAAAAAAAAGATAGCACAGCTAAATCTAATATTTATACTTTCTCTGAAAAACACAGGCCTGGAAAAATTGCAAATCGTATTGAAAGACACTGTGCCAAAGAGAAGTAGTGTGAAAAAAGGTACTTCCTAAGAACCCCAACCTGAGCTTTTATGTTATCTTCAGTAGCTTTCTACTGAATGAAAATCTAACACTGGAGTAGTGGTTAGTACTCTCATTTAGGGGATCATTTATGTGGCTATTTAGTTGTTCATAATTGCAGCTCAGTAAATTTCAGGAGTCTTAATTCCTCTTTTAGAAAAGTTTCCAGATGCTCTGTACCACACAGAGCTGAACAGCATATCTTTGTATTTCAGGTGCCAATCACAACTCTTTTGCTTTTAGACTAGCCAGGACCTGCGTGATTTAGTATCACTGCTTGCTCTTGCTTGGAGATCCCTTTCTGTTTCACCATGGAGCTGGTCACTGCTCTGCAATTAGTGTCTCTGCTCCCAGCACATGCTGTGGCATACTTCTGGGCAGTCTAGGAGCCAACAACTCAGGGAGAGAGCTTAACCTGTTATTATCTGTACCTGACTGCACCTCTGGTCCACAGCAAGTGAGCAACCTAGAAAAAAAGACACATTTGTTCTTCCAGAAGCTGTAATATCAATTTGGAATGGATCAAACACAAAAAAAAATAGGAGTGGGAGTGACAATGACAGTGTCAAAATGACAGGATCTGAGAGTGATTTCAGCTCTTTGGACTGGAAGCATGTCTCTACTGCTTCTTGACTATGTGTTGTAGCAAGGTTCTGAATACAAGAAGCTCTTTGCTCACCCCATAATCTGTATGCATAGGGAGGAAAGACAGAATCGCAGAATCACAGAATGGTAGGGGTTGGAAAGGGACCTTGTGGGTCATCTAGTCCAACCCTCCTGCCGAAGCAGGGTCACCTACAGCAGGCTGCAGAGGACCTTGTCCAGGCGGG